GTGTTGGGTCTTCGTTGCTGTGCCGGCTTTCTCTAGTTGCGGTGAGCAGGGCCTACTCTTCATTGCTGTGTGCAGGCTTCTCATCACGGTGGCTTCTCTTGTTGTGGAGCACAGGCTCTAGGCACGCGGGCTTCAGTAGTTGCAGCATGTGGGCTCAGTAGTTGTGGCTCGTGGGCTCTAGAGCGCAGGCTCAGTAGTTGTGGCACATGGGCTTAGTTGCTCCGCGGCACGTGGGATCTTCCTGGACCAGGGCTTGAACCCATGTCCCCTGCATTGGCAGGCAGATTCTTAACCACTGAGCCACCAGGGAAGCCGCAACGTTCTTTTACTCAGAAGGTTTGGCCTTCTGAATTGACTTTTCCCAGTCTGAGTTGCCACGCCTGTTTTAAGGATTGCATTGCACGCTGTAAAGTCATCATCATCCTTACAACCAGGGGTTCCTGGGATTTGCTAGGATGCTTTTAGCTAGTTCAGAATCTCTGTGCTCTCTTTCTTCCCGGATTTCTGAGGCTTTGTACTTTTTGGTCCTTTCTTGTAATTGACTTTTTCCTTTATGCTCAATGACACCTTTTATATCCTCTGACATCTTTTCTTCTGCTCTGCTTCTTCTCTTTGATTATTTTTTCTCAAGAAACCTACAGTTTGGAGGAATCAAATAGGCTTCCTAACAGTGACACATAATGGAATCCTTAGAAAAATAAGTCCCTCACCTCTAGCACTTTCTGCGAGCAAGAACCAGTTGGTTTCTCCATGTGGAAGCATCCTTGGTCAGAAGGACCAGAATGATGGTGAATGGTCAATGATGGAGACATTTCTCTGGGCTGTAAGTCCACTGGCTATGCCAAAGCACTGTTTCATAAAAGTAAGCAAGTACATCTCTCGTTTGCAATACCGTAATAAACATAAGATTCCTCAATACTGGAAAGAATTTGAAAAATCATTGGGCTATAGTTTCAAGACCTAAAGCAGAAGAGCTATTGTATGTTCCTTAAGAATTCTTTTCAATAAAAATGATCTTTCTTTCAATATATTCATCCTTTGCTTAACCTAAGTATCCCTACTGCATTTCAATCCATTTACTCCCATCCTGCCCTCAGTGGAGACAGAAGGCTAATTACTATCATGTGCACTATGGACTCAAAGACTAGCATTAGAGTAACCCTTAGCATTGTCTTCCTCAGGCTGAACAGTCCCTTTTCCTCTCATCTTGTCTCCCGGGTTTTGCTTTCCAGCCCTTTAACCAGCCGAGGCCGCTGAGTGCCATGGGAGGATGGCTTCCTATTGCAACAGCCTGTGCCCCTATTCACGTATTACAGCATTGGAATACCTTCCAATACCTTTGAACTGCACTTCATGCTTTGCAGTGTTTCCTTTGGCATGATATCATTGGACACTGCTTGCTTTGGAACAGCAGGGCTGCGTGCCTGACGCATGCACACTTCTTGATATCCACGGGGCTGCCTGAGCCCTTGCTCAGCTCTGTCTACCGGAAGTGCAGTCATTTTTCACTGTCTGTTTGCTGGCCGTCCTGTCTCCCTGAGTAGAGTCACTCTGGTCCAGGTCCTACTGGGCTCATGCTGTACATTGTCTGTCACTTTTCTCACTTACTTCTGCCTAATGGAAGGTCGTCATAGGTTAAGTGCCAACAGTGGCACATGGTGGCTTTATATTTACGTTATTTAAATGGTGTTCCTTTTATTTTTTCCTCCCTCTCTCTGCTCAGATGCTGGATTTGAGATCCCAAACTTGTTTGTGGTGGGTTATGCCCTAGATTACAATGAATACTTCAGAGATCTGAATGTAAGTCTTGCATGCAAATCCCCAGCCCCCTTTTCACAAGAACTTAACAATGACATCAGTTTAACAAATTTTTGAGATAGCCGTAATGATGGCTGCCATTTAATGAGTGTCTTCTGTGTCGGGAATATTCTGGGCACTTGGCATTCGTAATCCCAGTGAATTTCCACCACTGCCCAGCAAGGTAGGTATTAGGTTGTTGGAAGCAATTATGATTGTCTCTATTTTGTATGAAGGAAAGAAGGAAGTTAAAAGCAGAAAGATAGCTTGTTACTGATTTTTCTCCATCGTCATCGACTGTGTCTCCTCTCAACCATACTAACAGGCAGTATTCAATAAACTGTTTAGTGTCAGTGCTTGAAATCTAGAAGTTTCCAATTACAGCAGCATGTAGCTCATAACTATTCCCCCTTTGGGAGAAATCATTTTAACTTGTAGACGTGGACCCCCAAGTGTATGACCCTATCGTTGCTGAATGATCTGGAGGTAAACATCTTACCCAAAATGGACCAGTCCGTGTCTCTCTCCTAGGATTTAGAAACCTAAACCAAACACCACAGAGACCAAGGGATTTTGGACTTAAGCCGTGGGCTGAGGTCTGGAGCTACCCCAGTTCCTGCCTTCCAGTTGCTTCATTGCTCTGCTTTTCCTCTACCTTTGCGAGCTACCCCAGTACCCCACTGATAACACCCCCCCTTTTGCTTATGTTCACCCAACACCATTTCTGTTGCTTGCCATCAAAATATTTCTGACACATTTCTTGCTACCCAAAAAGGGTCAAAGGAGAATCAATACTTGCTACCCAAAAAGGGTCAAAGGAGAGTCAAGATGCAAACATATTATAAACCTATCACAGTACAATACTATATAGCCGATTGTGTTAGTTGGGTACCTAGGCTAACTTTGTTGGACTTATGGACAAATTGGACTTACGAACGCACTCGGAATGGAACTCGTTCATATGTAGGGGACTTATTATATTTTGTTAAGAGGCTGATGCATTTAAACCCTTTATTGTTTCAGCACATATGTGTGATCAATGAACACGGCAAAGAAAAGTATCGAGTCTAAAGAAGTAATTTTCACCATCGAATCTACAGATAACATCCTACTTACGACTACACTCAGGAAGCCAGCATGTAAAGTTTGTCTCCCAGGCATGTTCACTCAGCAGGATTTAAAAGGAAAAAAAAAATTTTAATGAGCAAGCTTTCTTTTCTGAGATTATAACATAACATGAAGAGTCCCAAAGGTTCTCAAGGAAAAGAAAGCAATTCTTTTATTTGACTTGTTCCAAATTAAACACTCTGCCTTGCGACTCAAACTGCCTTCACACCCCTGAGATACACCTTCTTTTGTTCTGATAAAGTCGTTATGCTTGATTACTATACCGCCACATAGTTACTCAAATATTTTTCACTTAACTTTTTTTTTTTTTAAATACTTTACTTTGGTAATATTTTGCAATCTTAAAACCTGGAAGCCTTTTTATTGAACCTCTGAGCCCATGTACTGGAACTGCAAGTAGATTCCCATCCTAATAAAGGAGGGAAAGGACAATTTAATATAAATTTCTGTTTGCGCACTTCTGACAGGCCATTATTATCTGCTTTGACAAAGTCTTTCTGAACAGCAGCGTACAATGAATCTTAATGATGTTATGAAATGGGCTTCGCCCAGGGCTCTTGATTGGAGCTTCCGGTATGTGATAACGGTATGTCATGTATGCTTGGATGTACTCAACTGTGTTTAATACTCTGAATTTTAATTAGAAAAAATACAATGGCAGCAAGGCCCTGGTTTCTAAGCGGCATCCTTTTATTCATGCAGGACATGAGAAACAGCAAATCGGGGGTGGAGGGAGAAGTGTTTTCAGTGCTCAAAACTGAGCAAGTATAAATTTTTCATGTATTTCCATCAGAGGGCAAGACACTATTATGTATTATCCTAAAGAAGAATACAGAGGTTGAATTATGTTTTTAAGTGGCCTTATGAGACGGATCACACGACCCAACGCGCTATAGAAAACTAGGATACTTAAGAAAGATTTTTCTGAATAACATTTTTTTTCCATTTCCACTGTTTTATGAGAGGTTTTCTAATTTATGGGGATTTTAATAGAAAATAAACTTGAGTGCCAATAGAGCTGTTTTTTCTCACTTCCTAAAAGGAGCAAATGCAAAATAAATAACTAAGCAGCCTTTGTTTGGTTCTGAACCGTATGTGGTGTATTGTTATCGGGTTCCAGCTTCCTTTAAACTAATAAAGAATAAGAAAACTTGTTATGTCTCATAACTGCTTACTGTTTTTCTTCCGCCTTCATATTTTTTATATACTTTCAGCCATTATACTGTGTGTGAGCCAGTAGCTTAAATATACGACTGCATACATCTTCCCTGTGGCTTTAGTTTTGTTAATCTGGAAAAAATCCAGTATATGCACCAGTATAAGCAAATGATTAAGCCAGCCTTGATCCGCTGCTTTTTTTTTTTTTTTCTCCTTAAGCTTGTTTGTAAAAACAAGGAATTTCAGTTGTAAAAGAAGATTTTCCTGCATATCTTTGTTCCAGTCAGAGAAGAAAATAAACCACACCCAGCTCTCCCAAGGGGCAAACCAGCAAAGGGAATTCCTTCTGGCTTTGTTCCACGGACAAATCTGTATCCAAGTTATAGGTTGATAATTTGGTCTAACTGGCCAGTTTCTTGAACTATCAAAATTAATCTTCTAAATATAATTTTCCACTATGCCACATTTATATCAGAGGACCTAGAAAAATCCAAGGACATTTGGTTTTAAATATAAAATTAGCGATAAAGTATGTATTATTGAAAGATTTTCTTTTAAATGTTGAATCTTAGTAAACATCAGTATCATTTTTGAGGACTGTAGGTTTATTCAAATTAGAAAGGAAGTTGATCTACTTCACAAGATTTTGAGAAGGATTTGTGAGAGTTAATGCTGAAAAAGAAAAATTCATTAAACACACAAGAAGTTTAATCATTCCTGAAATGTTTTCCTGTCAGACCATATTTTGACAGTGATATCCAAGAATATCATCTTGGGAAGAATAGTATTTCCTTTTCTCTTGAACACTCTAATCTTTTTAGTATCACTGAGTTTATTCAACCTAGACCAAAAATGTAAAAGCTTATCATCTGGTTAACAACCAGTGCATTTATTAATTTAGTGTTCCAAAGCTGATTAATAGGGGGGGAAAAAAAGTGTGGCATGTGTCCCTGGAAAAATCTGGATTCAGTTATAATCAACATACTCAGTAATACTTTGGGATCTTTCAAACAAATCAGAATCCCTCAGTACAAACTGGCCCTTTCTTATTGGACTGGAATATATCCCATATTGAACCACGTACTACCCCCAAGGTGAGCTGCGTGAAGGTCAGATCCTGATGCGCCTTGTTTAACCTTTGGATGTCTTTGGATGTCACTTGTTTTGCCATGTCTCAGGCCTCCGGAGACTGAAAACAGCCTTGCAGAGCACAAGCAGCCACTTCCTCAGCCTCCTGTGCGGTGAACTTGGATTTTCCCAATGGAGACAGAAGGTAACCCATCCCACTTCTAAAGACCCGCTGTCGTGGAAATATTTCCCCACTTCTGTAAGAGTTACTGTGTTCTAGGAAACTGAAACCCTAAACCACACTCTCGACCCGGATGTCTGGTTAATTTGGGCAAAAAATAGCATTTGGGAGTTTTACTTAGTTTACCATCGTAAAGTTCCTTTGGGTGCCCTGATGACGTCTGAGGACCACTGGGCCGGCGAGTTTCACGAAGGGAAAAGAGGATCACGGAGGGACATCTGGGATTTGGTGCTGGGAAGTGTGCGGAGTAAGGAAAGTGGATGCATGTGGAGAGGGCCGCGAGGCTCCATGGCCCCAGCCGTACCCCATGAGTGGTTCTGAACCCTGTGGAGAAAAGTAGGCAAAGATGTCAGCAGAAAGAGCTGTTTTCCTAGTAGCCATCATGCCACACAGTGGAGCCGCCAGGCTGGTCTCCACATCTCACTGGGGATCATGGTGCAGCTTTAGAGTGGGAGAAGTCCTGGGAAAGCAGCTCCGTTGGAGGATCCCAAGGATTCTGCAGTTAGGGGAGTTCTTGGGCTGGGAAGGGTGTCCACATTCAGGGCGCTTCACAGGATGCCCCCTCCAGAGACTTCACAGGCCACAGGCTTCCACAGGGGACCAGAGCAGCCCATGGGAGGAATGTTGATGGCCACATGTGAGAAAGCTCTGAGCATCCCGGACACACAACTACTGCATGGGTCGTACCGTCCATGCTGCTGGTACCCTAGGCAAGGATGCCTGGCCGAGGGGAGCAAGGAGGAGCTGAAATCCAGCCCACATGCCACTTGTCAAGCCATGGACTGCATCAGCCTTCAGGTAGGCGTGTCCTTTTCTTAAAGGGGTTTCTTTTTCTAGGCCACCAGAAAAGGTTATGTTTTTGCAATTTCTCATCCACAAAAGGGTGGCTTTTTCTGCCAGGGTGAGCTTTGCTCAGAAATAGGTAGGGGAGAACACGGAGACAGGGTGTGGGTTCTGAAGTCCTGCAATTTCCAAGTGATAGGAATAAGCCTGAACTAATGTTACTGTGACCTCATCCGTATCCAGATCCTAGTGGGTGTTGACTAGTGAATAAGCTGTGTGTGAGGATGGTAAAGTTTAGATGATTTGTTCAAGAAATCTGGCTGTGAAGAGAAGAGACACAAAACCATAGCTAGAGGCCTTGTAAAAGATGGAAGAGGCTTGTGCATCTTTATTCGCTGTAGAGAACAAAAAAAATCAAACAGAATAGTAGAATGTATTCATTGTTGACCGCTGTGTAACAAATCACCCCAATACTGAGTGGCTTAAACCAACAATAATTCTTTTATTATCTCGCATGCTTCCAAGAGTTAGGAATATGGAGAGAGCACAGTGGGGATGGCTTGTTTCAGCTCCGTGATGTTTGTTGCTTCTGCAGGAAGATTCAGAGGCTGAGGGCTAAACTGTCTAGTGTGGCAGCCATTAGCCACATGCAGTTATTTAAATTTAAATGAAATAAAGTTAAATGAAATTTAAAATTCACTTTTTCATTCACACTAGCTACATTACAATTGCTCAGTAGCCTCATGTGGTAGTAAGTTACCATATTAGCACAAACAGAAAATTTCCATAATTGCAGAACGTTCTATGGGTAGCTCTGATCTGAAGGCCTGTCTAGCGGGTGATGTTGGCTGTTAGCCTGAACCTTAGCTGAGGCTGAAATTCTTCTGTGTGGTTTCTCCATGTGGTTTGGGCTTCCTCACAACATGGCCGCTGGGTTCCCAAGGCAAGTGCAGACAGAGACAGAGAGAAGCAGGTGGAAGCCACATCGCCTCTTATCTGACAGACTCACTTCCACCATGTTCTGTGAGTCAAAGCAGATACAGGGATTTGTCTGAGTTCAAGGGGAAGGAACAGAGACTGCCACCACTCAGTGGTAGATTAGCATAATCATCATATTGTAAGATGGTCAAGTGGAATGGCATATATTGCTGTGGCCATCTTCAGAAACCTGCAGATGAAGTCTGCCACAGAAAAGTGATGTGCCCTGCACATTTCCCTACTAATTAGGTTAGTGAAGGAGTTGATTATCCACTGGTCATAATGCATAATTGAAAACAAGCCTGCTTGCACAGATTTTTAAAGATTACAAAATACTACCTAGCCACGTGGGAAAATATGAGATGATGAAAAGAACACCAGGCAGTAGCACATCTTGATTACAAAGATAGAAATACACGTCTTCCCACTGAGAGTATTTGGAATAAATTAGAAGACTTTGAAAGAGCAGCTTTATTTCTATTAAGGTGCTTAAGTTTGAAATATAAAAAACAGTAGAATGGTTTTTGCTTGGCAAACGCCCTATAGATGTAAATTCATACTGAAATTTTGGTAGTTCCATTTTCATATGAAAAAAGTTTCATAATAATTTGGCCAAGAAAGTGATTCAGGATAAGGGCCCTTAAAACACAATGAATGTAACTAGGTGAACAATTACATATATATGTTACATACATTATACTAGAAACAATACTCATCAAGTCAATTTTAAAAACAACAGATTACTCAGTACTAACCTACAGGATTTTACAATGAAAACTGCTCTGATTTATCTAATCTAATATTGAACGACAGAATTGGTTGACTGGAAAAAGAAATCAACGTAATTTGTCTTCTCTTTAGTAAGGATTTTGGTTCCGCCATGTGAAGAATATTCATCAATAGCCTGAGAAAATGACTTATACTACACAGCTACTGGGTAATTGCACAAATCCGTATAGTTGTATTCAAAAGAGACGTGTCATGAGCATAACAAAGCATCTTGTGCAAGATTCAAGCCCAGGCATTGGGTGTGTTGACATTTCATGAAAGATTTGGCTGAAACTACTGTGGATCATGCACTATGCCAAAACTTGAGAATAACTCAATGTAATATTTAGCACAAAACTCAGAGGTAGGAATTGGCATCTCCATTTTAGAGATAAGGAAGTGAGGATCAGAGAGATTAAATCACTTACCCAGGGTCACACAGCTTTGTTCAAAGCCAAAAATTGAAGCAGTGCTATTGGACTCTTGAGTCAGTACTCAAGATACAGGACTAAGTTCATGGACACTAGAAAGTGTGCCTGCAGACTTATGGATTACAATTAGATGAGTATAAGAAAGGATGGTGTGGTATAGGAAATCTATTTGTTTTTTCCCACTGGTTCCTGGCTCAGAGCTCCTAAAACCCTTGGAATTTCCAAAGTGATAGGAGTGTCTTTTGTTATCCATAACAAGCCTCTGGATCACACCTGGGTTTATGTTAATGAGGTGACTTGGATTGGGAACCCTAGATGGCCTCAAAGAACAGTGATCAGAGGGTTGGAATTTTCAGCCCTGCCCACTGACCTCTGGGTAATCATACAACTGCGTTTCATTAGCTACTATTTTTGTGCATCTACAATACATTCAAAGAAGAAATGGTCCTATAATTTTCTTTTCTTCTGTTATCCTTATTTGGTTTTGGAATCAGGATTATTCTAGCCTCAAAAATGACATCAGGTGGGATTTCCCTGGTGGTGCAGTGGTTAAGAATCCGCCTATGGGCTTCCCTGGTAGCGCAGTGATTGAGAATCTGCCTGCCAATGCAGGGGATACGGGTTCGAGCCCTGGTCTGGGAAGATCCCACATGCCACGGAGCAACTGGGCCCGTCAGCCACAACTACTGAGCCTGTGCGTCTGGAGCCTGTGCTCCGCAACAAGAGAGGCCGCGACAGTGAGAGGCCTGCACACCACGATGAAGAGTGGCCCCCACTTGCCACAACTAGAGAAAGCCCTCGCACAGAAACGAAGACCCAACACAGCCAAAAATTAATTAATTAATTAATTAATTAAAAAAAAAAAGAATCCGCCTACCAATGCAGGGGACATGGGTTTGATCCCTAGTCCAGGAAGATCCCACATACGGTGGAGCAACTAAGCCCATGCGCTGCAACTACTGAGCCTGTGCTCTAGAGCCTGAGCCACAACTACTGAAGCCCGTGTGCCTAGAGCATGGGCACCGCAACAAAGAGCGGGCACCGCAATGAAGCGGGCACCCCACTCTCCACAACTAGAGAAAGCCCAGGTGCAGCAACAAAGACCCAATGCAGCCATAAATAAATAAATAAATTTATTTTTTTTTTAAAATGACATCAGGGAATTCCCTGACAGTCCAGTGGTTAGGACTCCATGCTTCCACTGTAGGGGGCATAGGTTCGACCCCTGGTTGGGAAACTGAGATCCTGCATGCCTCGCAGTGTGGCCAAAAAAAAAAGACATCAGCCTTTCCTTTTTTTCTGTTTTCTGGAACAACTTGTATAAGATAGGGATTCTCCATATGTTGACATTTGTACTACTTTAAAAAATTTCACTGTGTATGTAGTCATTTCTTCTTTTTGTTCCATATTTTATTTGCTTCTAATACCTTTTATTTTTTCTCCACCAAAGAAACCACTTTAGTTTTGTTAATCTTCTAATGGATCGTTTCTTCCAGGCTGTACCCATCCTCCAGATTCCATGACTGTTGGCTGGAAATGATGCTTATCTCCTAGTATTGTTGTAAGGCTTAAATAAGATAATATATGTACAGTTCTTTGCACTTAGCATTAATCAAGAATCATATGCAATATACGAACATATGATCATCTGTAGATACTTAATGCTGGCATTTTTCTTGTCCTTCATCTCCATGCAGTCCCTTCCACTTCATCTCAGTCCTTGTACTTCACAACATATTTTAAATAATTATTCCACATTTCTATGGCCAAGTAATAGTTGTCTGAAACTTGATTTTGTTACAAGGGTACAAAATCTTAGTTTTTGAACTTATCCTAATCAAAACAATGGTTAAAATAATTGGGGTGCTGCTCTAACTTGAACAGATGGCTTGTTTCTGTTTTTTAAGTACAAATTATTTTGGCAACAAACTTTGAACTGGCTGTCATTAAAACTTTGAAAATAAGTTCCAGTTTTGAATCAGGAAGCCAGAAGGACTTGGTAAATCATTTCCACGCTGGGGAGAAATCACCCGAGAGGTGCTATGTCCCTGCTAGTTTAGTGTCACAAGTTCATCAAGGTTCCTCTTATAGCAACCTTCAAGTCAGGCACTGAAAAAAAGAAAGTGTGCCAACAGAGAGAGGAAGAAAGAGAATTTTGACCTCGTCATAACTCTAAGCTGTAACTAAAACAAGTAAGACCCAAGAGGTTCCACTCTTCCAGTTAGAGACAAAGACGTGAAATGCTGAAGCCAAAACTCAGAACCCAAGTAACTGTGACTTTGCAGCACTGAGCTCTAGTTCCAGGCCCCAGCTGGTCCTCTCCAGGCCTTGCTTTTCCTCATCTATAAGCCCAGGAGAGACAGACAGGCCTCCTCATTGTGTAGCTATGAGGAAAAGTTCGTTAATAAAAGACAAGTAAGCCTATTGGCAATAGCAAATGTTAAGATGCTTACAATTAGCTTGGGAAAAAGAGATACCCTGTGCTGTTTACCTCCATCAGACACTGCCCTTCTCTCTGAGGCCAGGCTGCTAAACAGCTTGCTTCTAGAAAGTCCCCTTGTGAAGTCAAATGTCCTTGAATGTATAGAAGGTCCAGGGCAGAGTTGTTCAGCATGAGACAAACTGGGCAAGGTCACATGGTGAGCAGAGGCTCTAGAAGGTAGAGCTGATGTGCATGCGACGTGCTGTTCATTCACTCCTACCGCAGTCAACTGAACGATGGTTCCCCAAAGATATCCACGCCTTCATGCCCACAGTGTGTGAATACGTTGCCATACATGGCAAAAGGGACTTTGCAGCTGATCACATGAAGGATGTCAAGACGGGGAACTTATCCTGGATTGTCCAGGTGGGGTCATTGTAATCATAAGGGTCTTCATAAGAGAGGAACAGGGGAGTCAGACTCAGAGAAGGATGTGATGGCAGAAGAAGGGGTCGGAGACAGAAATTTGGAGACGCTCCACTGCTGGCTCTGAAGATGGCGGAAGAGGCCATGAGCCAAGGTATGCAGGAGGTCTCTAGAAACTCGAACAGGCAAGGAAACGGGTTCTCTCCCAGAGCTTCTAAAAGGGACACCTTGACTTAGCCTCTGGTGAAAGTTGTTTTGGACTTCTGGCTTCCAGAACTTCCAAATAATACATTTGTATTGTTTTACATCACTGAATGTGTAACAATTTGTTACAGCGGCGACCAGAAACTAATACACCTCCGGTATACCAGTGCCATGTGGCAGGAGACATTTTTCTTCCACAGTCTCTACAGGGAGGCAGCACACCTAGAAATGGGGGGTACCGCATAGGAAAGCA